AACGACTCGTTACAGTCTTCCGCTACATTTGTCTTATGACATTTTTATTTGTTTCTAATCATTTTGAAAATACAACTTGTCCCAGTTACATGGGACACCCTGTATATGTAGTTGTGTAAAGACATTGACATACGCGGTACAGAAATAACATTTGTTCTCTCTAGGCTGTGTGTATCTCGTACACATGGACTATCTGATAAGTAGTGAAACTGACGATGTAAAACATGAAAAAATGATCATATTGATATAAATTTCTTATTTTACTCCAAGTAAATTTTTTATTTTTTGATTTTAAAATCACCACGAATGCCCATGTCACCGTGACTTTGATTGTTCGAATATCATTGTGTCTTATTTCTTTCATTGGAATATTCCGATTAGTAAAAAGAAAATAATTTTACTAACAGTTGCCATAGAATCTAAAAAGTATTTGTTACACATGTAGGATAATTGTGTTGAATGTTTGTGTCACGCTGTAGTTTGGTTCGGAGATGTGTGTTGAATGTTTGTGTCACGCTGTAGTTTGGAGTAATGTTAAGTTATATGCAAAAGGATTGAGAGTGTTTTGTTAAAAAAGAAGGGGTTACCAGGGACAGCGAAACAACGGGCAGAGAGTAACGAGTGATTGAAAGAGACAGACGTGATTTGAATTTATGTGGATAATTAATGAGATTTTGATTTGTGTAAAAAGATTGTGTGTTTATTGTGTTTCAAATTCGTTCATTTAGTTATATTATTTGTACATTTGTTCCAAATACAATTCTTTTTCGTTAAATCCTACACACATATATTTCGTTTTTTTCAAATTTTGAGTTAAAACATTGCGAATCAGGTTCTTGCAGACGTCAAATTTCTCTATCATCATTTTATCTGCATAAGTTTATAACTGTTCACCGACTTCGGACAACATGGCTGTTCGTCGTCGTTCAAATATTCCTGGTGGTCTGTGAAGCATCCATACCACTTAAATACTTGTGTACGGAGCATACAATTATTACCATGAACTTCTTTCAATATTTCAAGATTTCAAGGGTGGTCACTCCACCAAGATTAAAACAGAATATAATATTTGCTTCACTATGTTTTCGTGACAAGATCTACCATCATGCCATTACTTTTTGAACGTGTTCATTTCAGTTGAAATTTTAGCGGCGGCGAGGCTGAAACATTTTTTCGTACAACGAATACCTTACGAGTTATTTGAGGTCGTGATGTTAGGAAACTCACCCTGTATATATTATTATTTCTGTTATGTAATAAATTAAAATAGATAATAAACGAATATGAAAAAAGTTTTTCCTTCAAATCAATTTGTTTAGTAGTTATAAGCATTTATACCACCACAACCATGCTGTGCCAGTATTTATGTCCAGCACTGTATGTGTTAAGGATTCTAAAGGAACCTTAACATTGCGGGGTTTATGATACGAATTCTCCGCTATTTTTGAGGATTAGGACTTCGAGACATTTTTACTTGGAAAGTACGTTGCAGTCATTAAGGAACCTCCAACCATGGGACTTGGAATTCTTGGAGCTCTTCCTTGCCTCAATAGCGATTGACGTATCGTAAACCCGCGGTAGCGCACAGCTGCAGACCGCCAGGGTCTTGGGGGCTTTGGCTTTTCCCAAAATGTTTATTTATAAAAGGGGCAGCGTTCTCGTTCACCCTTGCATGGTGTACCTGGACACTAAACAGTAGGGTAAGCGGGAATGTTGCAAAGGGTAAGAAACGCCCTGCCAAGATGACGACTTTGACGATTGGCTTGACCAATCCTCTCACCGGTTAACGCTACGCGTTTTCGTCACCTTGGTAGGAGAAGCCAAGCTTAGGCTAAGGGTAACATTAAGATTTCGGTTTAGATTCGTTTGATCGAGCCTTACAACCTCGCTTCGACTCTCCACAAGTTTGAAAGACGAAGAAGTGTAACTAAAAAGAGCATCGTGCTCTTCCTTGAAGCAACGTGCTTCAAGGTTATTTTGTTTTCCCCCAAACACCAGTTTGGGTGGTCCTTCGAGCACAAGGAAAAGGAACACGGTAAGGAGCTGTGTAATACGCACGGTCCGCGCAGTATAGAAATGTAGTAAATGTTATGAACGCGCTGATGCCCATGATAAAACAATCTAAATTGACCAGTCAGCTGTATATTTCGATCTCGTCAAAAAGTTGTTTCAAAAATACACACATTGAGTATTTGTACAAAAACAGTTAGTAACAGATGGAAACAGTTCGGATAACGATTTCGATACAGTAGACGGGGATATTTTAAAATAATTAATAAACAAATATAAACTAGAGTATAATACGAATGAAAAATTTCAGATTTTAATATGCGCGCCTAAATCATGGGCTATTAAAAGAATAGCTAAGGATACATCATATTATATGGTTAAACAAGCACAACACTTGCAAAACAAGTATAGAATAATCTTAATCTACAGAGTCAATTTTGTCAGAAGTAAAAAATTTGATAAAAGCATTTTTGCGTGATGACGAGGATTGTACTTCTTTTGTGGAGGACTGAAAACGTATTACCGTTTAAAATAATTAGTTTTAAGAAATTTGGAACAACTTTTTCAATACTTTAAAGAACAATTTTCGAATGAGAAAGTACTATTCTTCCACAAGAAGAAGGCACAATGTGTTTACATCCCACTCCTGTTACTGTCCGCTGACTCACAGGTATTGGTCGAAAACGGTGACAAAGATCGGTGACAGCCAATCAGCGGATTACAGCAAGAGTGGGGATGTAAACACGCTGTGCCTTCTTCTCGTGGAAAGACGATACCTCAATCGCTGAACACCAACATTTGTCGCCCTGCCCTGATCATACTTTTAGAGAGTCTGATCATTTAAAAAATGCAATCGAAAGAGTAAATAACGAAGATATTTTTTTCAAATTTGTGTTGATGACTTTGAAATCTTCAATTACATGTACTTGGATAAAAATATTTAGGTACATTGGACTTTCTTCGTACCACACAGTGTGACGAACTATAATAAAACATAAAAATATTAAAAGTTTCAATTGTGTATTTCATTTCATGGAATTGTTAGTAATCACTTCTCTTATGTGAACACTTAACTTGATAACATGACATGGCTCGTCGAAGATAAAAAGGCTAAGGCAGGTCTTATATTGGCTATCTGTCCATCGGAAATCAAACAAATCCGTGGATATAATACACTAAAACAAGTCTGGGACAAACTTGAAACAATCTTCGCATCAAAAGCCCCGCATGAAAAGCCCTGTTGTTAAAATACCTCACGCAGCATAAGTTTCCGGGACAGTTTTGAAAATTTTCACTGTGTAATCAAATCGCGTGATTCGCTATCGGACGTGGAATCGTTGAAAATAAAAATTCTCGAAACATTCAACGTAAAACACCAAAATAAAACGGACGAAGATGACGGTGCTATGTTTGTTAAACAAAATTGATCGCACTGGAATAAATTGAGAGTGAACAGTGACGCAACGCGGGACGAAATCGGACAAAAACCGTCAAATGAGAGGATGAACTACAAGTGCGGTATTTGTGGTAAAAAGAGGTGTCAAATGTCGGCTTGTTTTGCCAAGGAAAGGGTGTGCAATCATAAAGCTAATTATAAAGCTCATCATGCATATTTCGCGATAAACTCGCGGAACAAAAAGAAAATCGTTTGTACCGGCAGATGGTGTTTCGATAGCGACTGCATGTCACATATGTGTAACTCCAACAAATGTAATAATGGCAGAAATTAAAATACCATACCTGAAAGATAGAGCAACTTTTCTAGGCTCTAAATACCTAATAAAGTGCTTATCAAATAGTTCGCATCAAACCAAAACAACTATACCGAACTAATGACACTACCAAGGTCTGCCTCTGTCTTCACAGCTGAGTATGCAACCATAAAAATGGTAGTGGAGTACGCAATCAGGGACCTGACAAAGTCATACCTGGTTTGCATCGATTCACTAAGCTTGTTACAAAGCTTGCAAAAAAAACGCCTTCAAGTTTCAAACAAACAAACTCATAACAGACATTAAATATAGTCTAAAAAAATTGAAGGACGTGTAGTTGTTTAGAATGTATATTTATTTTGCAATAGTTTTAAATTATATAAATACAAAGAGTTATACGTCCGCTCGTTGAAAACTCAAACCGAACTCTTTTTTTGTTTAAACGCACGGTCGACTGTGATTTCACCCACTCAATATTCTTTCTTTTATCTTTGCAACTCTCACACAGGTAACTAAAAATAGGAAAATTATACTCACGTGGGTTCCCTCACATAGCAAAATAGAAGTCAACGAGTTTGTTGGCTTACGTGCCAAAACCGCCTCCCTGTCCACAACCTTAAATCCCTGCATCCCACACACAGATCTCATACAACACATCAAACAGAAAACTGCCCAAGAATCAGAGAAAGAATGGAAAGCACAGGGAACACACAAAAGATCTCCATTCTTCATGAAATACTGAAAAAAATTAAGACACCTCTGGTTCTTCAACAAAAAACTATCAAAGCGAACCACAATATGGATAAATAGACATCGGGCTGACACTACAGTCTTGCATCCTCTCTTGCAAGATGCCACATTATTACAAACTCTGCATGAAGTTATGGATACAGTGAACACACTATGGATCACATTCTGTAGGACTGCCCTTGATGCAAGATCTGAAATCAAACACCTAGAAACCTCCATACCATATTCAAACATTCTTAGGAGAATCCAATATTAAGGCGCTTCTTATCATTGATGCACTTTTACTCCATCACAAACTTCTAAAACCTAAATATAAGTACCAAAATTTAAGTCAAGTACTATAAATAAAATTAATTAAGTAATATAAGGTATATACATAAATGCAATTTGTTAGGGGGAGTAGGTTTGAAAAAACCTCGCCTAACGGTGGTCCGGATCTCGAGGGAAGGAACGTCGGGGAAAAGAATACAAGTGGGTTTTAATTTTCACGTAGCCGATGAATACGACTACGTCGTTTATTAAATCGTCTTACGTGAGACAAAAACCCGTCTGCCGGTCTAGACGCGTTACCGGCTGTCTAGCTTCGATGATCTGTAACAGAAAGAGACAAGAATAGGCGTTAAATACCTGACAACGTGACTCACGTCGGATGTCTTTCTCTTTCGCGCTCGCGCCTGGTTTGTGCTTGTCGCACCCAGGAGCGGGAATCTCAGTCGCCGCGATACGCGGCTATATTAGTGGACTGTATGTGTGAGAGCGTTCCCTTTAAATCGGGAATCGCTCGCTTATTGTTTCTTTATGCAAGATTCTAATTCCGCTATCTTTCAAGCCTGCAACTCTTGGTTGTCGTAGGAGGGCGATCAGAGGGAGGTTGTAAGATTCCAACCGTCGCCCTTATCCTCGGCCCTTCACCGTCTGGTTATGTGCGTACGGGCACGGTGCGGTACCGGTTTGACAACGGCGCCCTTGGGCGACTTACAGTTGCTCCGGATACCACGTTCTTTTTAGAATCGACGTCCTACGCACTGCGGCCGTACCAGGCGAGCGATTTTGGGACGTGATCTGATAATTTTGCCGTAAGCTGGGAGATCCTAGATGTCCCGCGCTTCGGCTAGAAGACGGCGAATCCACTCAAGGGTATTTTATTTCTACCCTTGGTCTGTGGGTTCGTAACCGTTCGAAAAACCAGGAAGGATCGAGTTTATGACTCGATCCGTGGGGAGACGGTGGGTCCACCCAGGGGATTTTCAGTAAGCCCTGACCTGTGGAGCCGTCTAGCCCTTGGAAGCTCGAATAACTCGACGCTTTAATTTTATTATTATGTTGTGTCGCACTGAGCTAGATCGTTGATCTAGGAACTCGCGACAAAGCAGGCTAATTTTTGGAGAAGCTTCTCAACGAAGGGTCGAATAACTCGACCGATTCGGAGATTTTTTAAAACTTCTCGATAGCGTGCTCGCTTATCGATATGCTCCGTTCAGTGGCTCGATAGCAAGTGACGGACGAACATGAGCTGCCAAAAGTGTGCGCGTGAGAGGGGGAATCCTTCGTCGCGTGGCGCTGCGTGGCGTCTCTCGTCCGTCTTTGTTTAATTTCTAATTGTCGTACCTTCTCTATGCCTGGGCGTTGAACTTGGCTTGTTCGAACTCGAACGTTACTTTATCGTTCGCGTGACTTTACAGAAAACCTCGAGAACCGTGTTTTTCTGTCCTCTAATGTTTCGAATAGCGGACGCGTCGACCTAGAATCTTCCTGGTCGGTCGCGTAACCGAAAACAAACCGGGTAACGAATTATTTCGGATTTCAATTAACTATCGCATTTTAATCGATATTTAAACATACCGCCCCCCTTGCACGGTCCGTGCAACAAGAATGGGAGGCGTAGGTCGCGGTCACGTCGCGTAAAGCCCGTAGAGAAGGTCGAAGTACAAAACCTTCTATTGAAAAAGTTTAAATGTACTTACTTATCGTCGGCCGTTGTCGATGTTGACTCATCGACGGGCAGTTTACACAACCGTGTAATCGGACGTGTGTATGTAGACGTAACTGTACGTACTTTAACCACACGCACGCACCTGTCTCGGCCCGGTAATACTTCCTCGATTCGTCCCATTTCCCATTGATTCGGGGGGAGAAGAGGGTTTTGCACTAAAACCAAGTCATTCGGTTTTAACTGCACTTGGGTGGTGCGCCACTTATAGCGTTTCTGGAGGTGCGTGAGATAATCTCGCGTCCAATGTTTCCAGAGCTGCTCGTGGAATTTCTGGATTGCTCTCCAGCGCGTAAGCCGCGAGAGATTTTCCTTTTCCACTGACTCGACCGGAAGTGCATTCATCGGTCCGCCTATTAGGAAGTGGCCCGGCGTGAGAGGGGCATAATCCTCGGGACAGTCACTCAAAGCGGCGATCGGTCGCGAATTCAAACTCGCCTCGATCTTGCAGAGGAGTGTCTGCATTTCCTCGCTTGTGGGTGTAAATTCGCCGATGATGCGTTTCAGGTGATGTTTCACCGATTTCACGCCGGCTTCTTGCATACCACCAAAGTGGGGCGCACTGGGTGGATTAAATCTCCACTTAATGCCCTTTTGACCGCACTTCGTTCGCATTTCTGGAGTTTGATACACCGTATTGAAGTGTTCCTTCAATTCCCGATCTGCTCCGACGAAGTTCGTTCCGTTATCACTGAACATACAGGACGGAACTCCTCGGCGGGCGATAAATCGGTCTAATGCGGCCAGAAATGCACTCGTCGTATAATCATGGACGAGTTCGATGTGCACGGCTCTCGTAGCGAAGCAGATGAACACTGCTATGTATGCTTTATGAGCCGTTTTCCCACGACCGGCGGAGTCGCGGACCCGATACGGTCCCGCGTAGTCGACTCCGCAGTTTGAGAAAGGTCGTGCCGCGCGACTGCGCTCCGGGATTAAATCCTGCATGATTTGCGTGGAGGTATTTGCTTGCCATCTCACGCATCGTATGCATTGGTGGATAACCGTGCGCGCCGCGTTTCTGCAGCCGATGATCCAGAATTTCTGTCTCACCGTGTACATGGTCAATTGTAAACCCCCGTGCAATGTATCCACGTGGCATTGCCTGATTATCATGTTAGACACATGATGTTTCGGCAGGATAATCGGGTGTTTGGTTTCCCATGCAAGCGTCGCATTCTCCAACCTTCCACCCACTCGTAAGACTTCCTTATCGTCGAGAAAAGGGTTTAGGCTCTTTAGAGGAGATGTCGCAGGGATTCCCTTGCGCTTTTTCAAGCACCGGTACTCCTCTGCGAAATGCGTACGCTGTAAGTAGCGTGCAATTCTTTCCGTTGCACGCTGGATTTCCGCTGCTTCGACAACTTTTGCATCGAATGACCTTCGTTCTCCGACCGCCGGCCTCCGGAACCGGAGGCAATAGGCAGTCACACGTTGTAGCTTACTCCATTGGGAAAATCGGAAAACTAAGTTCCATTCCTTTTCCGGAGTGGCCACGAGGGTATGCGTTACGCGTTTACCCTCCTCGGTCTCGAGCGAGGCTGGCGATTTCGGCCAATTTTCCTCTGATTGTCTAAGCCATTTCGGCCCGGAAATCCATAATTCGGACTGAATGAGTTCTGCGGCGTTTACACCTCGCGAATTCAGATCCGCTGGGTTGAAGCGCGTGGGAACGTGCCGCCATTCAGCTTTTGGGAGCATGGTCTGAATTTTTGACACGCGGTTGGCTATCACAACCTTCCATGTCGACGCATGCTTTTTCAACCAAGCGAGTGCAATCGTGGAATCTGTCCAGCAGATTATGCGGCTCATTTCTATGGGGAATGACCGTTTCACGTGCACTATGAGCTCGGAAAGTAACACAGCCCCATTCAATTCCAGGACGGGGATAGACTGTGTTTTTATCGGAGCCACTCGTGTCTTTGCCATGATTAATGTCGTAAACACGTCATTATTTTTCGTCGTCACACGTAAGTAAGTGACGGCCGAATAGGCAGCGAGTGATGCATCGCAGAATCCGTGTAGTTCCACAGTAACTGCGTCGTCTCCGTATTGGATCCATCTCGGGAATTTTAGTTCTTTGAGACTGCTCCAATCCCTGCAAAACGTGTTCCACGTTTTTTGCGTGTCCGTGGAAATTTGGTCGTCCCACTGGATTTTCTCCAGCCATTGGGACTGCATTAGAATTTTTGCACGGATTACGACTGGTGATAACCAGCCGAGGGGATCGAAGAGCTTCGCGATCTCCGAGAACAAATTTCTTTTTGTCATCGGTAACGCAGACGGTTGAAACCGTTGCAGATCGAAATGGAAGTAGTCTCCGGATGGGATCCATCGTAGACCAAGCACCTTTAGTTCGGAATCGTCGAACAGAGTGAGGTCTACGGCGTGGGAGTGAGCACCTTGGGGGATGTTCCGCAATAATTTCGCGGAGTTTCCAGCCCATTTTCTCAACTTGAATCCACCGCCCTGCAAGAGATCGCAGACTTGCTTGCGAATTTTCTCTAGCAGGGTTTTGTTGGACGCTCCCATAAATACGTCGTCGACGTATATGTCCCTCTCGAGGATCGGAGCAGCGAGAGGATACCTCTCTCCATCCTGCTCCTTTAATTCGAGGAGGGTACGCATCGCTAAATATGGGGCGCACGCCGTACCGTATGTTACGGTATTCAATTCGAAAGCTTTCAGCTTTTCGTCGTTTGACGCGCGCCATACGATGCATTGGAAACGACGGTCCTGTGGGGCGACGAGGATTTGCCGAAACATTTTCTCGATATCTGCCACCAGAACGTACTCATACAGACGCCACCTCGTTAAAACCGAGGTGATATCGTTCTGTAATTTTGGTCCGACATGCAGGACGTCGTTTAGGGATCGCCCTCCGACCGTTCTGCTGGTTGCATTGAACACAACGCGCAGTTTGGTCGTTGCACTTTCCGTGCGTACGACCGCTCGATGCGGAATGTACAGTCGATTCTGGTCAATCGGCTCAAGCCGAGTCATGTGACCTAAGGACTCGTACTCCGCGAGGAACTCAGAGTATTCTCTGTCGAGGGTCGCATCCGCGTCCAGTTTACGCTTCATCCTCGCGAGAGCGGACAGCGCTATGTGGAACGAGTGTCCTAACGCTTCGTCCGGTCTCGGGTGATTCAAGGGTAATCGGACTATAAACCGTCCGGTTTTGTCCCGTTTGACGGTTCTTCGGAAGAGTGCTTCGCACTCTTCTTCCGCCTTGGACCGCACCGAGGTCGTGGGGATTTCTTCGGTTTCCCAGAATCGTCGAATCGCGTAATCCAGCGATTCGAGAACGGTGCAATGCAGCGTTCTTACCGTATTCTGGCCGTCGCCTTCAGCGTGTATAGGGCCGGATATAACCCAGCCAAACGCCGTTTCTTGGGCGATCGGACCTTCATTCGCCCCTCGTCGGAAGCCCGGTCGAATCACCTGAGCATATACATCCGCTCCGATCAGAATTTCGATCGTAGGATCGGCCCTGGGTTCTGGATCGGCTAACGGTAAACCTCGGAACGCAGTGTAAACAAGCGCGTTCGCCGACGGTGTGCGGTAGGTCGTGATTTTCGGCACGACGTACGCGTGAGCGACACATATCGGTTTCGTTCCTTTTACCGAGCCGAGGTTTAATCCAACGCTGAATTTGATTTTTTGCGTTTCGCCGCCCCCCAAGCCTGATACCATGGCTGGGGTACGTATGCGTTTTAATTGGAGGTCATTAGCCAGCCCCGCGGAGACGAATGATGTCTCCGAACCTTGGTCTAACAGTGCTCGCGCAATCCGCGACGCACCGTTCTCGCCAAACACGCGTACTCGTGCAGTGGCTAGCACAACAGGCCTCGGTGCGCCTGTACCGATCGCGGTACAGTGTGATGTCGAGGCATGTTTGTCTTGTGCGTGTGAAGCCGTACTTTTTTCTCTTGGCTTTGACTTGGTCGGTTTCCGTGGTTGAGCGTTAAAACCGCTCTCGTCACGCCGGCCATATGAATTTCGTGCTGGCGGCCTCGCATTCTTCTGGTCCCAATTGTAACTACAGTGCAGTAGGGAATGGTGCTTCCCACTACACTGATTGCATACTTGGGGTCTTGGGCAACGCTCGGTAGGGTGGGAGCTAGCTAGGCAGCGTACACACCATAGTCGATTTCGAATGTACTGAGTGCGCATGCTCGCCGACAACACCATGAAATGGTTGCATTGTGGCAGGCTGTGTTGCCCAGAGCAGAATCCGCACACTTCCACCCGTTCTTGCCTGACTCGCCCGTCGTTTTCCGCACTCGGCCGTTTTTCTTTCGGAGCCGAGTCGGTTGTCACCACGACGTTATGGCTAGTCAGTGGTTTCGAAGCGACGCTTTTTGGTCGAGCATCGATGGGCTTTGGCATGCGGGACTTTGTTTCCGGGGCGAGAGCTGCCTCTCGACGGTCCTCTTTCATCGAAAGCAGAGCTTGTGCGTGATGATCGATGAAAGTTCGGACATCCTCGAACATCGGGTAGTTAGTCGAGAGGCCGAGCGATCTCTGCCATTCCAGCTCCAATTTCGGAGTGAAATGTTGTATCGTCCAGTACGCTAGCATCCATTCTACTAGCTGTTCGGACGTGCCCCTTTTTCTTAATGCAGCTAGAGTCTCTGTGCATTCCACAGTGACCTGCTGCAAGCTGGCTAGATCGTTGAATTCAATCTGCTTCAGCGAAAATAGTTTGTCGAGCAACCTTCCCGTGACCATGCGTGGAAGCCCGTATTTCTCCTTGAGCATTCTCCACGCTTCGGGGAAGTTGCGCCCGACAATCTCGAGCGACGAAATCGTCGCGAGAGCTGGTCCTTCCAAGCATGCGTTCAGATGGTACAATTTCTGTACATCTGATAACTGAACATTGTTCATCACCCCGGTGGTAAATAGATCCTCGAAATGTTCCCATTCCCGAGGATCCCCTCCGAATTTAGGCAATCTTTGCTTGGGGAGCTCAATGGGCATGCTGAATTGCTGGACCTCCGGTGCCGGTGGTCTCGATTCAGCAGCGATTCGTGTCAGCTCGGCGGTTACGAAATCCTGGAATTCCTGGAATTCGTTTTCCACGCCGAGGAGGTAGCCTGGCTTAAAAAGCGTATAGGCTTGTCTTTTTGCGGCGGGAATCATCTTCCGCACGTTTGCATACATGGTGCGGACATCCCGCCATGTTCGCCCGGCGTAGTCGAGCTTTTCTTGGAGGAGTTTCTCCGTGAATTTAGCTCTGCCCATTTTTTTGAGATTTATGCTCACGGATCTAAGACGATCGAACTCGTCTGTTAACTCCATGAGCTGATCCTCAATGTCGGAACGCGACATGGACTCGGATAACGCCATAGCGAGTTTGTCGAGGATCAATCAACTCGATTCAACTCTTACGTGGTAATTTCGTCACGTGCAAAGGCAGTCACCTTTTCCCGTTCCAATCAACCTCGTTTGATCCGGCTCGAAGGACCTTATGTTAGGGGGAGTAGGTTTGAAAAAACCTCGCCTAACGGTGGTCCGGATCTCGAGGGAAGGAACGTCGGGGAAAAGAATACAAGTGGTTTTTAATTTTCACGTAGCCGATGAATCCGACTACGTCGTTTATTGAATCGTATTACTGGAAACAAAAACAGGTCTGCCGGTCTAGACGCGTTACCGGCTGTCTAGCTTCGATGATCTGTAACAGAAAGAGACAAGAATAGGCGTTAAATACCTGACAACGTGACTCACGTCGGATGTCTTTCTCTTTCGCGCTCGCGCCTGGTTTGTGCTTGTCGCACCCAGGAGCGGGAATCTCAGTCGCCGCGATACGCGGCTATATTAGTGGACTGTATGTGTGAGAGCGTTCCCTTTAAATCGGGAATCGCTCGCTTATTGTTTCTTTATGCAAGATTCTAATTCCGCTATCTTTCAAGCCTGCAACTCTTGGTTGTCGTAGGAGGGGCGATCAGAGGGAGGTTGTAAGATTCCAACCGTCGCCCTTATCCTCGGCCCTTCACCGTCTGGTTATGTGCGTACGGGCACGGTGCGGTACCGGTTTGACAACGGCGCCCTTGGGCGACTTACAGTTGCTCCGGATACCACGTTCTTTTTAGAATCGACGTCCTACGCACTGCGGCCGTACCAGGCGAGCGATTTTGGGACGTGATCTGATAATTTTGCCGTAAGCTGGGAGATCCTAGATGTCCCGCGCTTCGGCTAGAAGACGGCGAATCCACTCAAGGGTATTTTATTTCTACCCTTGGTCTGTGGGTTCGTAACCGTTCGAAAAACCAGGAAGGATCGAGTTTATGACTCGATCCGTGGGGAGACGGTGGGTCCACCCAGGGGATTTTCAGTAAGCCCTGACCTGTGGAGCCGTCTAGCCCTTGGAAGCTCGAATAACTCGACGCTTTAATTTTATTATTATGTTGTGTCGCACTGAGCTAGATCGTTGATCTAGGAACTCGCGACAAAGCAGGCTAATTTTTGGAGAAGCTTCTCAACGAAGGGTCGAATAACTCGACCGATTCGGAGATTTTTTAAAACTTCTCGATAGCGTGCTCGCTTATCGATATGCTCCGTTCAGTGGCTCGATAGCAAGTGACGGACGAACATGAGCTGCCAAAAGTGTGCGCGTGAGAGGGGGAATCCTTCGTCGCGTGGCGCTGCGTGGCGTCTCTCGTCCGTCTTTGTTTAATTTCTAATTGTCGTACCTTCTCTATGCCTGGGCGTTGAACTTGGCTTGTTCGAACTCGAACGTTACTTTATCGTTCGCGTGACTTTACAGAAAACCTCGAGAACCGTGTTTTTCTGTCCTCTAATGTTTCGAATAGCGGACGCGTCGACCTAGAATCTTCCTGGTCGGTCGCGTAACCGAAAACAAACCGGGTAACGAATTATTTCGGATTTCAATTAACTATCGCATTTTAATCGATATTTAAACACAATTAAAAGTGTTTTATGTACTAACCAAAGGGAGACATAATCCTAAGAGAGACTTAGCTGTCGTTAATAAAGAAAAGCATGTATAACGACGAGAAGTTGTTTGTGAATGTCAAAAAAACGCGAAGCGGTGTCAAACTGGCGAGCAATGCGACGACTAAGATTAAAACTAAAATCAAAAAGACATCACAAAATTAATGAAAATGTTTCTTAATGAATTCGCCTTTTTTACAAGGGATGGACACGAACTTCAATTTTAATGTGCTCTTGTAGAATGATAGTAGAGTGGCCCCTTTTGGTGTATGTAAAATAAATATCATGTGTAGATACTCAATACTTTTTGAGATATGCGCCCATTATCCCAGCGAAAAGGAACAACAATCCTGAAGGGAGCAAGGTTCGAAGAAGCAACAATCCAGGAAGGAACAACAATGCAGGGAGCAACAACCATTCAGGAAGGAGTAACAATTCAGGTGGGAGCAACATCCAGGCACCGTTATCAACCCAGGAAGGAGCAACAATCGAAGAAGGGTGCAACGGAACACATCGGTATGTGAAAGTGAAAAGTGTTAGTGACCGTGCTGTGAAGTTTTTTCGGGGTGAGAAGCAGGTACAGCGAACGGGCCGTCCCATCAGCTGATTTTCGTTGGGGTTTTTGACCTTGCTGTGACCGACAGCGGTGCATTGGCCGGGCTCTATTGTCAGCGCAGTAGGTCAATTTGCAGATAAATGGGTAAGTCGAATTTCAATTATTTCTCTATTAACCCTTTGCATTCGAGGAATGTTTCGGTACGCAGAAATCCAATCTGCTTTTTCAGTACAGTTTTTAATAACAAACGGTTACAAATGGTTCTTACCGTATTTATTTCAATTTTCTGATAATAATTTTTATTTTAATTTTAAAACACTCTGGCGAGTCACTCGTTTGCGAAGAGTTAATTTCCTAAAAATTCCGAGATTTTATTCCTTCTTTCTCGGAAACAGCAAATACAAATAATTAATAAATTCCATTTAGTAATTTACGTACTAATTACGTAGTAATTAACGAATTAGGTAACAGTTGTAGTGGTAGTATTTTTAATTATTTGTATTCGTTCCTCGATGTATCTTCAACGCGCATCTTGCTACCTACCCGGCGCGGTGGCTCTCCGAGGTCGGACGGCCCTGAGCGCGCGGAAGGCGAGCGCCGTGATTGGTCAGTGTTTTTCGTTAATAATTCAAAAACGAAGCTCCATCCGACATTTTTTCAAAGAAAATTGTTGTTCAGAATCGTCTCAGCTACCCCCCATTTCCGGTTCTTACACTATTTACGGGACACCCTGTATAATATAATACATGTCTATTTATTCTACAAACGTGTTATATATTACTACATGTATACCACTGAAATGAAATAGGGAAGTGAATTAAAAACCTAGTTGCGCTTAAGTTTTCTTAAGATCATTATTTCTTCAATCTAGGTATTCGAATATTTCGTGACGTGTGAAACATGATTTGTAAGACAATTTCTAGATATTGAAACATTTCTTAGCAGACAATTTTGACAATTATTTCATGTTAAAACAAAATACATCATATAGAACGGAAGTCATGATAAAGTATCTTACGTGTTTGGAGGTGTCAAAGCTATTTGGACACGAATAGCGACGTCGCATTGATTCGGTTGATTTTATCCGATTGAAAATTCGAATGTTGTTGCCAAAGCTCAGGAAGGAGCAGAGAGATGATAAATGTCGCATCGGTCCTTGCAAGAGTCAAAACCGGGGAAATTGGGTTTTCTGACAGACGCCAATTCCATCTGTCCCTATGTATTCTTTTTACATTTTGATGCTCTTTAGAACAGATTGCATCAGTGTTTACGTGGTGACTGACCGACTAAATCGGTTGAAAATAGTATTTATTGATTGTTGTGGCTGAGGAATGTTTCGAGTGAATCTATTACAGAGCGACCGCAGCGTATGTTGGAAAGATTGGCCGAGGTGTGAAAGAAGAGTGTTTGGGACAGAGCACTTGAGATTATCGTGTGAACGGAGAGCGCGTGGCCACTAGGGTAGTCCTTAGCTACAGGGGTCAACATTTTCTTTTTAGCTTCTTTTCGACGCATCTCCATAGATTGTATTCGAATTGTAGGATTATGGGACGTATAGTTTAAATAATACATTGTGTAAAATAAGTTCCCGGAATTTCTCACTTTCAAATCCCACAATGCATGTATTGAAACAAATTTTTGTGTGTAAGTAGGCAACATTGTATTCAGTTGTTATGCTAAATTTGATTGCAGTATGACAACCAGTGTGTTCACGGCAGTTATTTACACCAGTCGATCTCGAGTGTGCTCTGCGATTTTTGCGATGGAATGAACTGTCGAGCAAAGAATTTGCCTTAAATTTTGCGTTTCTAACGAAATTTCTTGTATCGAAGCGTTAAAAATGTTACAGAAAGCCTATGGTAAGTGGTATCTATCAAAAACGCAAACATACGAATGGTACAAGGCATTTAAAGAGGGCCGAGAAGAAGTGCAAGATTTGCTGCGTGCCAGCCGACCGTCAATGGTTTCGACTGACGAAAACATCGAAAAGATAAAAAAAATGGTCATCGATAATCGTCGCCTGAGTGTTAGAGAGGTGGTTCATGAAGTGGAAATGTCGCACATGTCCGTGCATAACATTTTAACTGAAGTTTTGAGCATGAGACGCGTCGCTGCATGACTTGTTCCGAAGGAGCTGAATTTTCTGCAAAAAGAACATCGAAAAGCAGTTGCTGAAGACATGATTTCACAAGCTTCTAGTGACTTTACCTTCATGAAACGCATCATAACCCGTAATGAAACGTGGGTTTATAAGTACGATATGCAAACAAGTCAACAATCTTCGGAATATCGCTTAGAAAATGAACGAAACCCCCAAAAACCGCGTCAAAGTCGCTCGAAAATTGAGGTCATGCTCACTGTTTTCTTTGATTTTAGTGGTGTTGTTCATTCGGAATTCGTTCCAGATGGACAAACAGTAGATAAAAAATATTATTTGAGCGTCATGAGACGCTTGCCTGAAAATATTCGTCGGAAACGGCTAGATGTGTGGAAAAACAATTCTTGGATCCTGCACCACGGTAATACTCCGTCGCACACATCGATCTTGGTACGCGAATTTTTGGCCAAGAACTCAACAAATATGATCGAACAAGCACCGTATTCACCAGATATGGCTCCCTCTGACTTTTTCTTATTTCCGAAACTCAAATTAGCCCTTCGGGGAAAGCGTTTTGAGTCGATAGAGGCCATAAAAGAAAATTCGCGGAAGGAGCCGAAGGCGCTATTTTCTTCAGCGTTTAAAAAATGTTTTGAAGACTGGGAGAAGAGTTGGCGTATGTGCATTGCTTCTGATGGGGCCTATTTTGAAGGCGACAAAATAAATTTAGATGATTAAGTA